GTTCAATATATACTATATGCGTTTCGATAAAAAGAAATATTTTACGTTAAATTATGCAAACGTCAAGGGAAAGTTCTTGGAATTAAACTTGTCGGAAAAAAGTGAGTGATTCATGTTAAATATACGTATATTCGATACAATGGTTATTTAAGAGTGTTTTTTGGTTACACGGTAAAATACATTGTTTGGAGCTTGTAATATCAAGAAATCCGTGCGACTTGTCAAGTTATTGATTAGGGAGATAGTGTGTGTTTGGAACATTCCATAATTGACATTTTTTCGTATTATGTGATATTCGTAGCAGTAAAAAGAGGTAGACAAGAAAATGTTTGTATGTTTCACCATTCGTTTGATGATTACTCATGCAAGATAAATTTCGCGGAAGGTTTTTATGGAAATTTAGTTTGCCAGAGACTGTTCATTTGCCACGTATCGTTTAACTAGTATCAAAATGGAGACAAGAAGAACCCCATAGTCTTTCTAATTAGCACTAGTGCAGTCGACATATCTCACCTTAATTAATTTTAAATATGGAATGGGATGCTGATAACAGTATTGATTAATGTTGAAATATGTGAACCATTGGATCCTGGCTTCGTTTTCCAATGGTTTAATGCTCTCTACCAGATCTGAACGTCTCATGTTTCATCTTATCATATAAGACCATAGAATAGCACTACTGATGAGTCTGAGGCTTGGATGAAAAGGTTACATGGTCTCGATCTCCTCTGTTTATCCACCCTATGCTAGCGTATGGTAAAAATTATTTTCCAATGGAATACATCTTCACACAAATCAGCTAACTACATTTCGTGTGTAAAATTCGTTGTGGATTTGAAATTTCGATTCATTTTGTACCTGGAAATTAACTCTTTTAATGTAGATACAAGAATTCCAATTCTTATGTTTCAGTAACTTAAATATTTCGATTCAACTATTAAAAAAATTAAAAATCATAAATTTTCCATTTAATTAATAATATTGTTATTGTATTCCCCTTGGATGGAAGTAGTGAAAATTATCTCATTTAAAAAAAACACACTTTTAGAATCGGTAGTTTTAAATTTTAATTTCAATTAACAGTTATATAGGTTAAAACGTTAATAGTACAGATTACTTGGATTTAAATGTAAACTACTGTTTAACTTAACAATACAATTGTTTACTAAAAATTGCCATCATAATCTTGTATCACACGGATTTTCTCTCTTAAATCGTAATAACGTTTTATATTATTTAGTTCAAGTTGATTGATCAATTGATGTATTCTTGATTCTATTTGAATGTAATTCGTGTCTTAGTAAAAGTCTATATTTTCTCATAGTTTATATTTATGACTATTTTTAATCAGTCTGTGTTAAAATACATTCATTCGGCGAAGATTGCTTCGATATTGCAAGTTAGTCATTAGGTTTTAGTACGTTTAGATCGTGGCTAACAGTGGGAATTATTAAGCGCATTGACGTTTTAATTGATAGGTGCTGATTTTAAATTTCAATGTGTTAACATTAACACAAAGACGGAAGCACATCCATCTGAAAAGTCCCAAATAGGGTGAAACTTACGTCTTGAATTCCGCTGCTACCCACAGTCCAAACAAATGAATAACCTCATATCTGTGTAAACAATAATGCTTTGCGTATTCTGTCAGCCAGATACATGATATTGAATGTTGTACTCTACCATCATTTTATTCCACCTATTAAGAGAGAAAGGGTACTTCGTTAGTTTTTTTTTGAGTCTTTACTAAAACTAATAAATTAGCTACTTTGGAATTTACTACCTATTTAAATGTAGGCTTTAATGTAACGCCAGAAAACCTTTCATATTGATGGTTTGCTTTGATATTGAAGCTAAATTCTATTACGTAATCGGTAAATTTGATTATTTATTATACGTTATTAAAATTCTTTGAAAAAAAGTTGTGCACATATGAATTAATTCTTAAACATGTAGTTTTGTAATTTATTAACCCATTTCAATGCCTGATATGATTTAACGGCGTCACGATAAGTTTTCCAACTATTTTAACATATATGATTTGATTTGTTTACATACTTAGCTTTAATTTCATTGTCCTAATTGTGTCTTCTTCACAAATTTGTATACTTCTTGTAACATCCATAACAGTAACAATCGAATAACTACGTTTTTTCGTTTATTCTTGATTAAATACATCATAAGTGTTTACATTGTTGATGCCAATTTTTCAAATAAGTGTTATTATTAGTTAGTCCAAGTGATTGTTACCTACGTATCGTTCTTTTTTAATTTGGTCAGTCATCACCAACGTAGGTCCTATCACAAACATGCATTAATCTAAGTTGCGTTATCACCAATTTTGCATGACAAGACAAAATTAACATGATAATAACAAAAAGGATTGAATTAATGTTTTAGAAATGATTATGAAAAAGACTAAGCATTGAGAATATGCTTTGTTTTCCCCAACTGACTTGCGATGCCAGCTGCTCTGCAAGCGGATTGGAAAAAGACAAAAGAGTATCCTAGGTTATACATATAACCAAATCATGAAGTTTTCGACTACTGAAATAAACTGTATCTTGTAATAGTCAACGAGATATTTGTAATTTATAAACGAATAAAACCCTTACTGGCATCGCTAGAGACCTCGGGTGACATGTCTTAGAATCGTTCACATTGGCTCCGATGCAGTCATCCGTTACCCCTCCCCTTAGTAAGTAAGTCGTAAAATCCCCTTATAGATTTCTTACCTCTTCTTATACCTAATCTTTTCTACTACTACTGCTACTACTAATACTAATACTACTTCTACTACTCCCGGATTTGTCTTGATAGTTTTATGTTACCTTAATAATATGGTATAACAAACAGAACCGACACACTGTGCTAGGTTCTACGTTGCACATGACTGACCGACTGACTAGGTTACATGGCTTATAATGTAACAGTGTAGGCCAGTTGCATTCCTACTTTATATATATTTCTAACTCTTGAAGTGGGTAATATCCTTGATTCTCAATCTCACTTATTGCACATAAGCTGTATTATATTTAGTTCATTAATTCACTATTGGTAATATTGTTAACTTCATTTTTTTACTGTTCTTGTTAATTTGCTCCGTGTACTTGCTTATTTGAGGTGTGAAAGGTGAAACTGATATACATTTGTGTTGGCTGACTGAATCTTTATTTCCTTTAAGAATCTGTGCGTGATATTCAGTACTTTATTTCTAAAAACTAAGTTAGTTTACTATCAGCTGTAACTTTAAACAAATTCAATAATCAAATGAGGTGTGTTTATTTATTTTGTATACATTACTATTAGTTACTGTCACGTTATAATATAAATCAATATCCAAGTACATATTTACGTACTCGGATTTTGGTCATACTTTTTTTTAATCTGAAAACTAATTATGCTACTGCCCAGCTGACTGAATCGAAAACAAGCTGAATAATAACCATTTTAAATTATTTCCACAGTTCAGAGTAATAAGGAGAAAATTCATGAATGATAAAAAATATATCATCAGTTAATGAGTTAAGTGAAAGCCTAGAACACAAGGTTACTGTTAACCGAATATTCAAAGTATATACAGTAAAAAACGAAGACTTGGCGGGGATATCCAATTTATTATTCGATGCAAAATTACCGAGATTTTTCGTAAAATGTGAAAAAACTATACATGAAATACTTCATTTGCAAATCTTCCATCAGTTGTCTCAAATTCCATCGTTCTTTCATTGCTATTACGATTACTCTGTTTACATTCCCGTTCTCTTCGATTCTACCTTCTCAACCTCCTGCTGCCAGGCATTCAACTTCTGATTGTTGTTACATACTACATGTGTCGACTGACATAAGTAGCATACACCACATTTATGTGCATATTATTCTACCGTGGAATCACCCTTAAAGTCCCTTCTCTTCCAATTATGTACCCGTATCTAATATTTATTATTATTATTATTATTATTATTATTATTATTATTATTATTATTATTATTATTATTATTATTATATCTAACTACTGGGGTGGAAATTTCATTTTATCCACTGTGGTTTTTGTTGGAATATATATACTACTCCATTAACAAATGTTTTACTGTTATGTTAAAATAAGTATTCTTTTTCTTCATGATTAGACATTTACCAGGACTATACGTACTGGAACTTGTCGCTGGTTGTGAAGCTGATCTTGATGGGAGAATAAAAAAAGATGACCGTATATTAGAAATTAACGGAATCGATTTAGAGAATGGGACACAAGAACAAGCAGCTCAAATAATTAATGTATGCAAAATCGTTATAGTGTTTTTTGGATTATTATTATTATGTTCATTAGGAAGTTTTCAAATCTCGTATTTTAATTTCTAACAAGATTACTATAGAAATATTATCATGCCACTTGTATAACTAATTTTAAGAAGGCTTATTATTATTGTTATTATTATTATTATAACAATATTCTAAAGCTCATTTATTGTCATGCTTAATACAAACACATATGATAGATTAGAACCCACTAGTAGTCCTGAAAACTTACTTGACAAAGGCAGAAATGAAAAACAACTGATCAATAGACATTTGTCCATTAAGTCGACAATTTTCTATTGACAAAACACTTTAAACATATTATTCTAAATAATATTTGCAAGCTTCTATAATTCTCATTCTTGTAAGTCAATTAGTGTAAATAAATATAGGACTGTCAAGCTCTGCTCACAATGTCTTGTACATTTTATGAATATAGTGTAGGCAATAAATCATCAGAAAGCTTGAATTTCCTTCTTAATGAAACAGCGAATGATTTGCGGAATAAAATAGCGGCCACTTTATTACATCAAAAACCACACAATTCTAATCTAACTAAAAATGAATTATATGCATTAAAACAGATGAAAAATAATAAGGCAATTATCATTACGAGAGCAGATAAAGGGAACACGACTGTTACTATAAACAAGTCAGACTACGAGAAAAAAGCCAGGGAACATCTCCAAGATGGCCTGTATGAATTAATTAAGGTCGAACTACGCTTAATAAACTTAAGGCTAAAACTAGCAGAATCCTAGTCATTATGGTTCATATTACATCCAAAATGTTGTAATCCTTGTAGATTATATAGACTACCAAAGATTCACATGAATAATACTCCACAAAAGCCAGCGGTTGATCCTACAAATTCACCATCATATAATCCGAAGATCTACCTAGCTAAGGTACTCAAACCGTATGACAAATTGATTAATCATGAAATTAAAAACTCCACTGAATTTAAGAATAATATCGACACCATCCACATAGAAGAGAATGAAATGATGCCAAGTTTTGATGTTTCTTCCTTATTTACTAATGTATTCATCAATAGAGTATTGGATATTATTTATGATTATTTCGAATCTGACTCATATTTTAATTTACGATCCCCGTTAGATCCATCCGAAGTTATTAAGTGTTTGGAATAGTGTTTACGATTCACGTTATTCACATTTAGAGAACTTTACATACAAAAAGGTGTAGCAATGGGTTCACTAGTTTCTCCAATCGCATTCCCTAGAAACCGGTGCAATCACAAGATGTGTAAATCCACGGTATGTAGATGACATTTTTAATATCATTAAACGGAATAGTTTAGAAAGTGTTTGAAAATGTGAACAGCATTTCGGAGAGCATTAATCTGACAAAGGAAATAGAGTGCAATAGACACAAACTAGCGTTTCTCGATTGTATAATTGAACGAAGACATAATTACAATAAGTTGAAAATAAATGTATTCGGGAAATCAACACATTCTGAAAGATACTTAGATTATAGTTCGGCTCATGCGTATTGTACGAAAGTCACAGCGGTAAAAAGTCGAATTAACAGGAATATTAATCTCATTACAGATAAGGAAGACCAACAGTTTGAATTCAATGGAATTCCGTCTATGCCTAAGGCTAACAATTAACCTAAAGAGTTTTTGAAGATTATCAGAGATGAAAGAAAAACTAAATTTGAGTATGTACCGAAAGATTGGAAGTCTACCGTGGTCACCCCATAGTGTAACATCAGAACAAGATTCTAAACAAACATGATATAGTAGTGTATTTTCGGGCTATTGACACCATAAGGTGATCATTAGTGAAGATTAAGGATAGAACAAACTAAACATTGGTATTTCACAAACTTTGACTTAAGCGAAATAGTATTCGCAAAACTAGCTTCCGTCGTTCGTCATGGCTTCTTTACTTCTCTATTGACATCATAATGACTAATAGTTAAATCCAGAACTCTTGTTTCCATCTTAATTCGGGCATTGTCAGCTAAATATACTATCCAAAATATAATAAATTTGTAACTGTAAAGGACGTTGAAGTATTCATTGGAGTCCCATCTGTGCTAACCGAGATCAATTAAGTTTGAATATCAACATTGGAAAAATATTAGTCCTTACAATTAATACCAAGGACTTTCAGTCGTGTATACATGTCGGGTGTATTTAAAAACATTTTGTCAAGTTCGTTAGTTTTTGTCATCTTCACTTTCCTATTATAGCTTTTATTTTGTAACCATTCTATTAATAACAGAGATTAGAGTGAATTGATTTGAAACCAGTAAATCATGTACGAATAATTTCAGTATTTTTTTCGGTAGTTCATGTATTGTTTAACATTTTATTCAAATGAATGTATACGTGCCTAATATATATTTATCACTTTAAGTACATGACATCAAATTAAAATATAGTCCACAAACTCAAGGCCTATTTAAATTTACACATATCTTGCTATAAATATCTATATTCCTATATACATCCCTTACATTGTAATCATGGTAATAAAGTAATCGTTTATCTATTACCAACCCGTCATATGACTCTCCAATCTGATTAACAGCTTTTGTCCCAACACACAGAAAATGAGATAGATTTCACTTCAATTTTTATTATCATATAATAACCCATAAATGAGTAACTGGGTAGAATATTAGAATGTTAATAAAGTATCTTTTAAATATATCAGTCAATGGTGATCTGTCAACTTTTCTGATGGATTCAAACGTAACAGAGTTATAATTAGTGGTTCTCATCTATACAATACAATGAATCTCCGTTGGCGTTCAACAAATAAGTAGTTTGTTGTTATTATGTTCTCTGAGTTGGATGGTTCAACTGCACAACTTTCTTGATCGTCCTACATAACATCAGCGTTTGCTACAATAAGTTATCTGTCTTAACTAAAAATCTTCATTTGGTAGGATTAGTCTACGAATACAGTACATCCTAGTTACTTCATTAATCCTTTATCTTTATTGAAAATGTAAAAATCTCCGTAGCATTCATTACATACTAACGAAGTTTTGGTCTCGTAACCGAAATTTTTTCGGTGACTTGACTTCCACCATGATCTATTTGTTCAACTTTTTAAAGGTAATCAACTATTTAGTTTATTATCATATTATCAATATTTGCATAGAAGTCTTACTAAACTTTTATTTCAAAGCTTTGCTGAATTTCGTAGATTTTATTCCCATTTATTCAGATCGTAAACGGAACTCTCTTGGCTCAGATTCACTGCGACATGTTTAAATAATACTCTTTGAGCTCCTAGTTAAATCCTTGTACACGTGGTTTAGTTTTAGCAATACTTGTTTTGAAACAACTATTTTTCTCTTCACACCCCAAACTGTGAACTGCTCGTTTTGTTTTATTTTCTGAAATACTAACAGGCTTCACATTATGATCTCACTTTTCTCTCGTCTATCAGTTAAAAATCACTTTTCATTCAAAGTTATACCCTCACTTGTAATGTGTAAAATTGTCCAATTTCGAATAAAAACATGAGCTAAACTTATTGTTATCCACATTGATTATATTCAGCTATTGAAAAATTACCTTTCTTTTTTCCCGATTATATATTTTTTCTTGTTTTAGTCTGTTTCGGATTATGTTATTTTTAAAATAAGCCGTCGAAATCGATCTGATACACCGGATATTTTAAGAACTACAACAGATTCAGAAGAGAAATCAGAGAATAGTTTATTAGCTTTGGAGCCATTGCAGCTCAATTCGAATAATCAACGTCAAGATAATAATAATAATCGTGAATCATCAAAACCAGTCCAAAATTTTGCATGGCCAAGCTTGGAAGACCGAGACATAAATCTGTCTGACACTACTTCTCATTCAACTACAGAATTAATTCATTCTTCAAATGAACAGAAATTAGCCTGCTTCAATCTGTCATCATCAACGACAACTGACGAGAATCATCGACCGGAAAGAGTGAATCAGACTTGTAACGAGTTGACAAATCGTTCTAATCCTGTAGATTCAGCTACTTCAAATAGTCCGCATAGTCGAAACAGTGATAAGCAATTTACTGTAAGTTTTTACTGTGTTTTCTTCCTTCCAATCTTATATTTGTCTATTTCGTATGTGTTCCTTTCATTTTTCTTATGATTTCTACATGTTTCTTTCTGCTTTACCACTCAGTCACTAATCCATACTCATACTCTTAGGTAACCAAATGCTCAGGGAAATACGATTAAAACTGCATGGAAATCTCCATAGTTGAGAGCTGAATAACTATGCTTGCAACGTTTGGGTACATGTATTTGTCCAAAATTATGTAGACGGATTTGTGTGTAATAAACCCGACTAAATGAATAATGCAGTTATTCAAAGTAGATCCCTTACACTTGTTTCTCAATTACTATATAGGTTTTAAACAGGATGCTATCTACACAACTTCGTCCAGAATATCTGTTCACACTCGGTATGAAAAGAAGTCTCTATTAAGAAGTTGAAATGTAAGACACAACTATGGCTGAGTAATGTCGAGATAGTTTCCATGGCATTTTGTAGTCATAGCTCCTCTCTGTGGATGATCGAAACGGTGGTAACGAGGAACTTCTCTTTTTCGGAATAGGGTTAGCTAGCACTCTTTAGTTCTCACCTATTTTCGAAATGTTTCCAGGAAATTCAGGCTAATCGAGTCCACTCAGTTACTTTTTTTTGCGACTAGAAGACTTCTAAAGCTTTCTCTGTGTGCTTTGATTAGTTTTGATTTGGTGATATATATATATATATATATATATATATATATATATATATATATATATATACTAATGTGAGATTTCAAAACTTTATTTTGCAAAATTTAAGGTCTATCAATCTTACCACCTTTCTAGTACTCCTCATTTGTCTAACTTCCACCTCTGTTTAAAAACAATTATTAGACTTAGTTACCCATCAATCACCAGTTTAAATCGTAATTTTACTTAAACTTAGGGTCATTAGATGTAGATTGGTAGTATTGGAACGTCATAACATTTACTACGTTAGTGTTAACCGCATATTATAAATTTTATTAAGTGATCCAATGATTGCACAATAATCCATTTTATTTATTTATTTTTCTCTAAAGATGTGACTGCAAAAGTTGAATAATGTAGTCAATCACTAATTAATTCTAAGTATCTCTCACTTATAGGAATACTGTCTAGGCAGTGATCGGCGTCAGCCTCTCATAAATACTTTATGATGACATGCAAACAAACGGAACTTGCATTGATTTCAATTACTGAGATTTATAATTCAAACGTTTCACTACTCCTATTAGTGATTTCGTTAGGTAAGTAGGAAAGAGAAGCAACAAATGACCTGGTGAAATGATTTATCATCATAAATATTACAAAGCTGGTGAAGTTAAACAATGAGCAATAAAAGGGCTGTGTCACATACGAAAACTTCAGTCTAACTAATAGTTAGTCATATAATCGAAGGCTTTCGTACATTAATTCTAACTGTTACTTGACCCCGATTGAAGCAGAGCTTATTACGTCTATCATTACAATGCACTCCTTACGACTTGTTATACTTTAGGTAACCATTTCATTTAAATCCACTCATGCTTCTAATCCAAAATACATATTTTACATACTTCTTGTACGCTAAGTCCTTTAAATGGTCAACGTCCCTATTTTATTATGTCTAACTTCAACATTTTACAACAGATAATTCCTCTGAATATAGCAAATATGTCGATATTCATAAATCAAGTGACCTATCTTCAAAGCTGTAAAGTTTCCTTAAGTTATTGTAAGGTTAATATAAAAGGCCGATAAAAACTGTTGTTCAATGAAATCTCTCATCCGTAGTGTAAAAGCTGTAAGGTTTCTTACTCTTGTTTGTAAAACACTTGTTATTTATCATTTGAGATCTTCGTTGTCACTGCTTAGTGATAAAAGTTCATCTATTATATATATATATATATATATATATATATATATATATATATATATATATATATATATATATATATAGAGAGAGAGAGAGAGAGAGAGAGAGTTGATTCTGTGTCAGTTCGTCTCCTTTAATTAAATGTGAATCTTCCAAACTCTTATGGACAACATTTGGAAGAAAAGTCAACTTATAAACTTAATTATTATCTTTTGTATAATGTCCCATTCTTTCTTAAAATAGTGCACATTTCTCATTTATTTTTGTTG